TTGTAAATGATTTCCACAATCACACGAATCAATCCAGCTTTCATAACGTTGTCCAAAGTTGTGAGGCTCTGCATTAAGGAAGGTCTTTCGAGTTTTTTCAAAAGCTCTTTAAAATGTTCGATAAGGAATCCAACTGTAACATTCGAGAATAATTTCCTACAATCTGATTCATTTTGTGTTAGATCCAAATACATTAGTAGATAGAATTCGTTGAGCTGCATAAGGATTACTAGTTTGGTTTCTAGCTTACGTACTAAAATGAATTGTCGTGAAAAAAACTGGAATCGACTGCTAACCTTCCTTACATGTGTAACAAGTCTTCTTTTACGTCTTCATTTTTAGTCTTCAGCATGGTCCAATCAGAGTTGTTTAGTCTTTGCAAACCAATGAGGTATTTTCTGACAACGGCAGAAAGCTGATCACAAAAATAGAGATTATGATCCTTCAATATGCTCATACTATAGCTAAAAAGATTTTTTTGTTTGTTTTTTCTTCTAGAGTTATTGAGTATCCTTCAAAAGGAGTATTCGATCTTATAGAATAATCACAGGAAAGAAAGTTTGATCTGAGATTTCGTCCATAAGTAGGATTCATGATCCTTAGAATCTTCTAAAATTTTTATCCAAATCAGATACTTTCTTGTCGATATATTGAATAAGAAAAAAAGCGATGACACTTCACAACATCAACTTTTTTTCAACTTGTCATATTTCGAGAAGAAAGGATGTGTTTTGACTGAAAATTTTAGAGCATTCTAAGAACCATGAATTCTACTTATCGGTAAAATTTCAGATCGAAATTCCTTTCTTTGGATTCTTCTATATCCTATCCAATGAATACTTTTCAGATGTCATATGGTGTTAGTAGATTATGTCGCAATTTCAAGGCTAATTTCATAAGACAGCTAGATGTAATGCTCATTAATTTCAGTCACAAAATCAAAATTGCACATTGTGTCTATGAACACACGAATTCATCAAAACAAAAATTTACATGCACAATTTTTTTAAATCTTAACTAATTAATTATTTCACTTGAACACCAGTTAAAAGCATTTTGTTTTTCAGTCTATAGCCTACCATACCAGATCTTGAAACGGGCCACCCGGGCCGAATTTTATTTGTTTTTTTGCAAGAAAAGGTTTTCACGTAAGAAAAAGATCTGATTCTAAGCGAGTTTCTTCTAGCTAAAAATCAATTAAAATGGGTCTATTATCATTTGATTAAAATTAGATTATTTGACCTTTAATCGATTTACATGGCAATGATCGTAAAACGGATTTTTCTCGAGTTTTAAGTTAGAAACTCAAACTTTTGGTTGTTTTTCGAACTCCTCAGCTCAGAAAATCGTAAGTGTTACACTGGATATAGAGAACAAAGGATTTTTTTTTTTGAGGAAAAATCAGAACGGCTGCCGACTGTGAGAGTTGAAGCTGATGTTTCTACCAGCATTGTGCTAGTACGCAGAGATGATTGCCACTTTGTGATTCTGTTGAGAAGACCTTGCCGATCAAATTGATATTCGCTCTTCCGGTTGAACAAAACAAAACAAAATTGAGAGTTTGATCTTTTCAGTGACAAAACCGCTTCTGTTTAACTTCTTTCCCGATACAAGCGTGAACGAATTAGTTGCTAGAAATCTTTCGAGAGTGCCTCGTTCGTGTTTGATTATTATTAGTGAACTCTTGCGAATGCCTATCAGACAAAACTATGCTTTTGCCACTTATTCGATTAAGGGATATAGCTGGTGGTGGAATAGAAAGACAAGGATTCAGCCTTTTGTTTTCAATAATTTCTAAATATGTTTTGTTTGAAATTGATTTGGATCAATTGAAATATCTCCTCTTTTCCATAATTACAGCGTAGTTTTCGTCATTGATCATTCATGAGTTTCTATTTTGAATTAAAAGAGGATTCAAACAAAAAACTGTCTCAACACGATCAAACTCAACGAATAGTTATGCCAACGGCAAGATTTTTCACAAAGCTGAGTTCTGTGAATTTTACAAGAAACTTATCGTTGGAAAACGTTTTAGGTTATATTCAAAAACTCTGTATAAACGAGAAAACTGTGACCAGTTTAGTGATCCATTACCTTGTGTGCTTCTCTATATTGCCCAAAACTAATTTTGACTTTTATCTTTTTAGCAATGCGTACTGAAACTAAACTCTAATGTTCAACAACAACTATAGATGATTGTAAATTTTGTGTCCTTCTTAAATGGAATATTTGTAAGATAAATATATCGATTTCATGCAGCAACGAAAAATGAAGAAAGTATTTTAGACAGTTGAAGACGTATTTTGAAAGTGGAGTATTTCGTCTTCTAAGTTTTAATGTAACTCCTTATTTCGTCATATCGAGGTCGAGTTTAACCGACTATCGCATATATTAACTAGTGCAGTAGCCCGAAACATGTGTGTTTTACTCATTAATCAGAACTTACAATCGGGTTTCAGGTAACCGTCGCAATATAACAAAAAAGTCGATTATCACCAATCCTTTAGTTATTTATCAGTTACAATCCATTATTTTTGACAACTGATTCTTGTCGATTATCTCGGAATCAATTCAAACCAGTTTTCGTTGCTTCTTGATGATTATATTTTAACTAATCCTTGGAGATTTAATATATAAAACACGATAGAACTGCTTTCAATATCAAGAAAAACATCATCACATGAACATCACAACTAATGATGAAGTTCAAAGAGCAGCACTTCGAGAAGTCTGTCAGATCTCTGAGATAGATAGAATAGGTCCAGCTTTCTTACTGTATATTTCAACATTTATGAACAATTATGCCTCATAGAGAAAGTACAAAAGTGAGAAAACCTACCAGTTGTTCTTCATTCAATTGAATGAAATCATTGATATTTCTGGAATGATGTGCCAGTCGTTCGGCCAGCTTTTCTACTCCTGTTCGGCAATAGCTGGCAATTGCACATTGTCGCGCAGAAATTTACACCACTCCTTAATAGAAAGATGTCTCGTACGATCCATCATAACATCGTTTGTATCATTGGCCATGCTCATAGGCTGTTTCAATAACCACCGCTGTCAAATTTCTACTATTAAAAGACGACGTTGAGAGACGTGAAAAAAAATGAAACGAACACAAGTGTTGACTCAGTTATACATGTTGATGGAAAGTAAATAGGAGTAAAAACATGCATGCGAAAATGTTTTTCATTTGCCTAGCTGAAGTCTTGACTTTCTTCACTGTTGTCCGTGCGCAAATAAACACGTCTTTGAAATTTTAAATTTTCATAGAAGATAATTCCAAGTAAGCACTGAAATATTCGAAACACTCCCCACCTAGAGGAGTGACACCTTACCATTACAGGGAATTCACGTCAATTTTTCGACATGATTCACTTCTACACTATTGGGTCGGTTTTTCTCCATTTTGTTCTCTCTTCGTCATTTTCATGCAATATCGGAGAAACTTCCTCTCATTTTTCTGATAGCATCTCTTTTCATTCAGAGAGAGAGAGATAGGGAGAGAAGTGATGTACAGCTAATGCTTAGGGTGAGTGTTGTTAAGCAGAAGATCCTTACTCCTGCCCACGCTTATACCCACACCCATCCACACCCTTAAAGAGCTGAAACTTTGTGGGGAACTTTCAGGTTTGACTTAAAAAGATGCTGCGCAATTGAAAAATCGACCTTCCATTGAAGAGTAATGTTCAACAGTCATTAGAAATTCACGAAAAATCAATCTGGAGCAATGTGCACGATGCTTTCAATAGATCTTGGATTTGGTAAGAATAGCTACCTGCGAAAAAGTCAAATCTCTATCTTGTCACTGAACTGGCGTATTCTTGCAAATTTTTCGCTGAGTTGCTTACCGAGTCAAAATTGTAAGGATTTAATCGTTGCATAATTTCTAACTGAAAAGCGAACAGAAAATAATTTCTCAGCTCAAAATTAACTGTGCTCACATATATTGTCCAAGAGTAAACTTTAATCAATCGATCTGAAAGTTCCGACACACTTATTCATCGACAGCACTAGGAGATTTTGGAAACTTATGATAACTCTTCACATGGATAACAGTTGACAGTTATGAGATGTGCCACTGAAATTTTCTGCGAAATCTATAATCGGTGGCCATCAACGATTGTCTAACTCTGAGAGCGAACCGTTGAGATTCATTTTCAGTCTGTTTTCATTGACTGTTGCTTAGAGATTTCTGGATTTCCACTAAAATGAGCTGAAAAGCTATTTTCTATTCGCTTTCTAATTGGAAATTATGTAACGAGTAGGTCTTTGCAATTTTCACTCAATAAACGACTCAACAGAAAATTGAAAAACTTTGTTATAATAGTGTTTGTTGTAAAAATATGCCAGTACAATGGCAAGATAGAGATTTTAATTTTTTACAGGAAGCTGTTCTCATCGAATGCAAGAACTGTTGAAAATTTCGTTTTGATTGCTCGAGACTGATTTTTCATGAATTGATAACCGGTGTTGAATACTACTTCGTAGTGGGAGATCAGTTTTTCAATGGTGCTGCCTCTTTTTGAATCGGGCTTGAAATTTTCCTCAAAGTTTCAGCTGTGTAATCTACGTAAGACAAAAGTTCGTTTTCCTGTCATGACCAAGAAAAGAAAGACATCAACT